GCACAATAACGGCAGCTTTTTTCGTGCTGTCGAAAGCAGCTTTGAAATCGACGAAGAGGTGGTGAGTGTCGATTCTCCTTTCACGGGCTTTTTCCAAAACTGGGCGCATAGAGAATATCTGGTCGATTGCTGATTTGCGAGGTCTGAAGCCACACTGATAAGGTCCAATCAGTTTGTTGACGGTGTGCTTTAATCTTTCACACAATACGCTCTATAGAGCCTTATATGTAATGCTTAGGAGGCTTAACGGTACTTGACGCAGATTGTGGGATCTCCTTTTTTGAGGATTGGGCATAGCACACTTAAATTCCAATCGTTGGGTATGTTTTCGTCCGACCATATTTTACAAAGAAGCTGATGCATGCTCCTTATCAGTTCTTCGCCGCCGTGTTTGAATAGCTCGGCCGGCAATTCATCGGCCCCGCCGCTTTGTTGTTCTTCAGGCGGGTAATTGTTTCCTGGTCGGGCAATGGAACGTTTCCTCCATCGTCATCGGTTGGGGAATCGGGTTCGCCTTCTCCTGGCGTTGGGCATCGGTGACTAGATCACCTTTGGGAGTTCTACAAGAGTATGCTCCGGTCTTGAAACCGTCTGTAAGCTGCTGCATTTTTTCGTAGAATTTTCGAGCATTACCCCTGTCGGTAAGCTCATCAAGCTCTTCGTACTCACGTATTTCGGCCTCTTTCTTTTTATGTCTACAAATGCGTCTCGCTTCCCTCTTCAACTCTCGGTATCCATCCCATCTCGCAAGTGTTCTGGTCGATCGTAACGTTGCGAGGTAGGCAGCCTGTTTTCTCTCCGCTGCGACACGGCACTCCTCGTCGTACCAGCTGTTCTTTTGCACTTTCCGAAAACCAATGGTTTCGGTTGCAGCTGTACGTAARGAGTTTGAWATGCCGTCCCRCAGWTCCCTTATMCCGAGTTGKTGACGAGTGCTCTCAGAGAGCAGAAGTGCAAGCCGAGCAGAAAATCATTCGGCTGCCTGTTGTGATTGCAGCTTCTCGACGTCGAACCTTCCTTGTGTTTGATGGCGTGCGTTTTTTGCTGCACAGAGGCGGGTGCGAATCTTGGCTGCAACAAGGTAGTGGTCCGAGTCGATGTTAGGACCTCGGAGCGCACGCACATCTTAAACACTGGATGTGTGTCTTCCGTCTATCACAACGTGATCGATTTGGTTGGTGGTTTTTCTATCCAGAGACAGCCAGGTAGCTTGATGAATCTTCTTATGCTGGAATCTAGTACTACAGATAACCATATTTCGGGCCCCGGCTAAGTCAGTCAGCCTCAACCCATTTAGGGATGTTGCCTCGTGGAGGCTGAATTTACCAACCGTAGTGCCAAAGATATCTTCTTTGCCCACCCTGGCGTTAAAGTCGCCAAGCACGATCTTGACATCGTGGCGGGGGCAGCTCTCAGAAGGGCGTTCCAAGCACTCATAAAAGGCATCTTTGGTCACATCGTCCTTCTCTTCCGTCGGGGCTTGGGCGCAAATTAGCGATATGTTGAAGAACCTCGCTTTGATCCGGATTGTGGCTAGACGTTCATTCACCGGTGTGAAGGGTAGTACTCTTCGACGGAGTCTCTCTCCCTCGACAAATCCCACACCAAAGTTGTGCTCCCTTATATGTCCAATGTAGTAAATGCCATAAGGACCTACTCGTCTCTGTCCTTGTCCCGTCCGTCGCATTTCTTGGACGGCGGTGATGTCAGTCTTTATTTTCACGAGGACATCAACCAGCTGGGCAGCGGCACCTTCCCAATTAAGGGACCGGACATTCCAGGTGCATGCTCTCAAATCATAGTCCTTAATTCTTTTGCCATGGTCGTCATCAAGAGGGGGGTCTCTCATCCGAGGCTGTTGTTGCTTTTTCATTGGGGTGTTTTTTTACGTGGCGGGTCCCAAACCCAGCGCACAACCTTATGTAGGGGATATTTCGCCTTCAAATCTTCTTAGGCTACCCAGGGGATACTTGGTCAAAGACTGGAAGTCGTGAGCTGCTTGAGTCATATGTAAAAGAATCGTTTCTGGCTACTCCCAAATGAATGGCGATCAGAGAACTTTCCTCACTTGCGTGAACTTCTGCACATGACTCCATCCTCCAAAAAAAAACTCTATGATAATATTATATAATTTATATCAATGAAAAATGGCCTGAACCACTTGAAGGGAATCCATTGCGGAGGGGTTGTAAAAAAATTTAGAAAAAGTTCATTTTTAACCGACTTGCGAGCGTAAATTTCCAAAACGTGACTTTTCCAAACAATTTTCTTTTGTTTAGTTATCCAATTAATTTATTAGTAAATTTTTTTAATCGTTCAATTTCGGTCGTGTGCTTTCTTTATTTCGGCTATTCGAAAGGTAAATAATTGAAAATTATTCAGTGAAAATTTTATGTGTGCTTCATACAAAGTGGTCAATCACAGATTGACATTTTCGGTCGGCGTTCTTTTTGCCATCAACATACATTTTTCACATGGGTCAAACCACGTCAGGTGGTCCATGAAAATTTCGCGAAATGACCGTTTTTGAAAATTAACAGTTCATTAGGGAGGAGATAAGATGCATACCTCGTGATATAAATATTTCGTAAAAATTCTATTTTTTGTTAAAGTTATTGAAGGTTGAAATTTAGTGTAATATAAAATTGTAAACTTATTTTCTCATAAAATACTAAATATTTTTTCACGATCCACTTGCTTAAATAATAATACTTTACATAATTTTTTGTTAAACAATTGAAAAAACTGTAAAGTATGTGACACAACGTGGAAACTATTCACCTTTAATAATCTGCCAAAAAAATTTGTACTTTCATACCATTCCGAAGATATTGAATATTTTGTCCCCCTACCGCTCTTAAAACGTGTGGCACATTCATCATAGGGGGACAAAAAATTTATGGCGGGCGGATTTGTTTCTTACATTCACTTGCGATGTCACACTTTCCAAACAACTGTTACGATGTTTGGTAGGCTTTATCTTGAAGTATGGTGCTGTTGAGTACTGGATGTACTCTGTTGAGTGACACATGAGAGGTTTACCGCACGCACACATTCTTCTTTGGATGGTGGTTAAACCTGATCAAATTGATGAAAACATTTCAGCGGAAATTCCTAATCCAAAGGTAGATCCACAATTATACGAAGTGGGGAAAACCAACAAGGCTCCTTGCGGACACCATAGTCCCACTTCGGTTTGAATGACTGACAATATGGTAAATGAACGAAACACTAAAAATGTGCTTTTCTTTCGAAATTGCTAACTGGAAATGATGAATATCCACTGTCTCGAGAAGTGATCGTACTATACTCGCAACTATTGTCTAAAAAGAAATTACATTGCCGAAGACATTTTACATATTTGATAAGAATTTGAAATAAACAAATTCCTTTCGATACTTCCAGGGGTTTGATATCAATTCCACCTGCCTTTTGTCAATTCACTTCAACGAAATATGAACACATCACAAATTTTTATGCCAACATTAGCCAAATTATCGTAAATACGAAGCCTTGGAATTTCTAAAAGCTTTCATTATTATGTTTCGCAATCTTCATGCGCCGAAATGAAACCCTATTGATTGTTCCGCAGCTATCAAATACAAGGGGCAGAATGCTTGATTCTACGAATTCCGTTGAGCTCCACCGAATTGCCATTTCAATTCGAACCTATTCAATTTACAGTGGAAATTGCATTTACGATGACAACCAACAGGACACAAAGATATTCGCTAGATGTGTGTGGCATAAATCTGGAACTGCTATGTTTTTCACACGGTCAGCTATACGTAGCGTGTTCACGAGTTGGAAAATCATCTTCTCTGTACTTTGCGCACCGGAACATCAACCAAAATATGTTGTTTATCGAGCTGCGTTACATTGAAATAACTTTAGAAAAATTGAAAAAAAATTATTTTAAACACAACGCAAATTCATCTTTCTTTTGATTTGAAAACACGTAGTTTCTCGCAGGACAAAGAATGCGGAGTCAGCTAGTCTTAAGGTTGTTATCCAGCTCTCAAGTAATGTAAAAACTTTATATAAAAAAACGCTTAAGAAACGGTCAAGTAACTTTCCTGTGATAAATTAACTTGTGCTAGTACGCAGCTCTAAAGAAATATAATACTAATTTCTAATACATATTTTCAATAAAATGCAAACATGGCAAGCCTGGTTTTGCGAAGAAACATCAAATCAACAATTGTTTCGTGAAGGAAAGTGACATGGGCGTACTAGTGAAGTGAATCAAGCCTGGCTCCACATAAGCAGTGCCCTTGATAAAAGTGGTGAATTAATTTATGTTTTGTATTCAGTGTTTTGTTATTCATAATAAAATTTATGTTTTAGTGGATGAGTGCAAATTGGCGTGGATTAGTATGCGCGAAAGCTATCGCTACCATCGCTAGGGTAGCTCATAAGAACAAAAGTGGCAGCGATGGTGGGGAAGTTTTGGAAACTCCATCATTTTCAGAAGACGTTGATTGGGAGTTTACGGAGGAAATGTCATTTTTGATGAATGTATCCCACAAACGGAAGTAAGTCTCCATAATTTGAACGCTCGCCAAACAATTAATTTTTTCTATTGTGTTGTTTTATATTTTAGAACCCAACACCCACCAAACGAGGGCGGCGATTAACCTCTCCGCGCAAAAATCAAGCGTGGAGTCGGTTTGATAACATACTCAATAAGCAAGAGCAAATGTTGAAAAGTCGCTCAAATACCACACGCAGCTCCCCTTACGCACAAGCTCTTTCCAGTTTTGATTGGTTGTTAAATCAACTGCCTAGATCTGTTGGCGACGACGAAGGTTGAAGAGCATAAAAATAAAAACCGAACCAACAATAATTAACATTTTTTGTAAACATTTATTAATAATACAAAAAATATTGTACTGAAATGAAAATAACTATTTATATTAATAATAAAGTTTGTAATGAAATGAAAACTAAAAGACTATAGTTTTGATGTATTTCATTTGTATAAGAATAATAACATAAATTTAAACAAAAGATGCATTGTTTTGCCAAGAAACAGATCCATTAGGAGAATTAACATAGTCTGTTAATATTTTCCGAATATATTTGCCGTAATCTGAATTTCTTCCACGGTAAGTGGTTACGATGGATTCATTTCGATTGCGTTGCTGTTGTTGCAACACTTCCCATTCTCCTGCTATCCAGTTTCCAGTGCTATCTACAAAACCAGAAAACGCATTTGAATTATACCTTCGGCGACACTTATTTGTAAGGAAATTATGCAATAGGCAACATGCCGAAACAAAAACTTGCGCTCGTTCAGGCTTGCAAAATAAAAGTTTTCTAAGGCAAAGCCATCTTGCAGTTAAAATGCCTATAGCATTCTCAATGCACCGCCTAGCTCTACTTATCCTGTAGTTAAAAATTCTTTGCTCTATCGAGAGTTGTGTGGCGCTAAACGGTTTAATTAAGCGTTTACATAAAGGAAAGGCGTCGTCTCCCACAATGAAATGCGACAATTTTTTTTTTTATTAATTACTCTGTCAAGAGGAAACAGACAGGTGTCGTTCAGAATTCTGGTACCAAATTTAGAATTTCGTATAATATGAGAGTCGCCTTCGCTTCCATCAGCACCTATATCCAAATAGGTAAATTTATAATTCGCATCACAGGTAGCCAGCAACACAATTGAATGGAACCCCTATAAATTCAAAAGTTTAAAATTCGTATTACTTTTTAGTACAAACTAGGCATATAATGTGATCTTACTTTGTAGTTATAAAATATAATTCCACTTTTTGGAGGTGCTTTTATATTAATATGTTTTCCACTGTGGCGTTGCAAATCCCCCGAAGCTACGTATCTGTAAGAATATAACATAACACGGTTATAAAAGACACTTTGGCAAAAATGTATAAAACATACTCCAGTACCACTGCCAATTTGGCTTTAATTGGAATAAAATCTTTCGGCCTACTGTTGCGTTTCGGAAGTAAACGTGGCTCCAACATCTCATAAAGTTCATCGAAAACTTCTGCTGGCATGCGAAAGTTTTCAACAAATAAACATGGTGAATTGCTCGAGGCTTCGAAGTCGGACATGAACCTTCCCTTCTCTATCCGTTCTTTAAGGTATGGACTCACCCAATATCTTGCGTTCTTACGTTTTTTGTTTTGCAATTCAGCATCCATCTCCATGGCAGCCATCATGGCACCACAATTCAAAGTGTTCATTAAACTCATCCTACAATTAGTTGAAATCATTATTATGAAATACGAGTATAGTTCATTTTGAAATAAGATATAAAACTTACTAATCTTCATTCATATTCCTTAGATCGCAATACAAATATTTATGTGCTTACACTCCTAAGATTATTTTCTTTGTTTATTCTCTCTTGCTCTTCTAATGTGGATCATTCACAATGCGCAACCAGCTGTCAAAATTACTTGAGAAATAATGTATTTTTTTTTTTTTTGAGCAATTACTTGAGAGCTGGATACCAACCTTTATATATAAAAATGAAACGCCTTTTTTTTTGTTCGCACCACAGCACAGAAAGACGTGAAAATTTGCGTGGGTATTGCTTTAGTCCTGGAGAAGGTCCTAACGGCGGCCTTTATTGAAAAATCACCCTCGATTTCGCAATTTATGTCTATATTTATAACTCAAGAACGACTAATCCGATTTGGCTAAAATGATGAGGTAGCTTGGAACCTCGGGACGGACGTAGACTACTGTCTGTCGTTCTTTGTTAAAAGTCACAACAATTCATAAATAAAAAAATATATATATCAAAAAATAACCAAGCCTTCAATATTCAAATAAGAATCATATGAACATTTTTTTACTTCAAAAACAAAATAACATCACACAGCTACTTGCAGCRTACAGTGTTTTTTGTTTACAACCACTTATGTATATATGAATTATAGTGATAGTTTTAACTGAACACGAAAAGTTGAATCATAATTTGAGATGAATCCATAATAGCTGACAAATAGTTCTGAAGCCTTGCACAGAACAATGCAATATTTAAAAGGAGCCGAGTCTGTGTTTTCTTACGAGTAGTATCTGGGTTTTAGCCGTCGATTTGGCAATTACATTCGATGAATTTTGGACAAAACAATACCATATCATTAGATATAGGGCGTGAGACCCTCTTGTGCTCTACTTCTGCATTTTAATAATTACACGTTTTGTTCTTCTCGCTTGCTAAAAAGCCAAGTGAATAATGTCGGATGTTTTACAAAATGGTTACCGGCTCTTTTTTTTGACAGGTCACCGGGTACTTCATATACATACAATTCACTTCTATTATACAATGGGTGGTTCAGATAACTTATAATTAACTTAATGTTT